TTTGTGTCCCTTTACAGCTTATCCCCTTCAAAATACTGGCCTTGGCTGACGGTGGATTTCCGCCAACGATCCGCCAAATCACGGAAGGCTTTTTGAAAACTCTCCGAGTTTATGTGCCGCAACGTTCGGATCGTGTTCCTTTGAGCCCACAGATTCAAATCTTTGACCTGTGTACAGATACGACCCACAGACTAAAGCCCAGTCCTCTCAATGGATCGAAAAATCTGACCCAAGGCCCAAAATATTTCGTCAAAGTCGCTCCAGAAAGAAAACTCTCCTGCCAGTTTTCTTTGATGTTCAAGGTGTCGTTCATTTTGAGTTTTTACCGCAGGGACAAACTGTTGATCGTTTTGATGACAACGATGTCCTTGGACGACTGCGCGAAAAAGTCAGGAAAAATCGACCAAATTTGTGGGCTGAGAACTCGTGGATGTTGCTTCATGACAATGCACCCGCGCACGCGGCGCTTCAAATTATGGAGTGTTGCGCAAAAAACGCGATGACAGTTCTGCCTCAACCCCCCCCGCTTCTCTCCAGACAGCTCCAGCTGATTTTTTTTTGTCCCCAAAACTGAAGCAACTTTTAGAAGGTCAAAGATTTGAATCTAGGGAGGACGTTCAAATGAACACGATCCGAACGTTGCGGCGCATCGACTCGGAGAGTTTTCAAAAAGCCTTCCATGATTTGGCGGATCGTTGGCGGAAATGCATCATCAGTCAAGGCCAGTATTTGGAAGGGGATAAGCTGTAAAGGAACACAAATTTTAGGTTATTCTTCAAAATTTATTTGTCGATATCTTTTCTTTTTTATATGACTGTCCGAGCAAAAAATTACGACATTTTGCCGACGAAAGAAAAAATGACTGATTTCTGAATCCTAAAAATCGCAGCGTGGCTTCGAGTCTGTCACTTTAGGCTACTGTAACTTGAGAACCAATAATGATTTCTGAACTTGGTAAAAAGCACTGTTTTTGTCTTGCTTTCTACTTTTTATTGACACCAAGAAAAGTAAAATTGAATCATCATTACCGTTTTAATGGCAGAAGTCCTGAAACTTATTGAACAGACCTCATACTCTATGAATACCTCTACAAACGTCAATCATCGAAGAATTACCCATTATTTGCTGAAAAATACGATTATTTGGTCCCAACACTCTACCAGCTAGCCAAAAATTATTGACGTATGTATCACGATAAAAAATGTTTGTATAGAAACAATAAAGTATAAAAAAATTAGTAGAATTAAAAATATTAAAGTATGTAGATTAAATGTAGAACCTTACTCAATCAAGTTTACCAAAAAATGAAAAGGAAGAAGACCCATTACTAAACTTAAACCAAAAGAAAACTATAAGGAATAACCAGATAGGAAAACCCAGACTGATAGAGATAAAATTTTGACAAAACAAATAAATTTCCTAAAAATAAATAAAATTCAGAAATATGTCAATTTCAATACTTTTTTAGTCTGTTTCATCATAACGTGATTGATTGGAATTTTGGTAGAAAAAATTATCGTAAACCTTTTAATTTCTCCGAAATAAAGAGAATCAGTACAGGGTGTCTACAAAATTTTCAAAATGAAATTCCCTGACAATTCCAGGTTTTCCATGACAAAAAATGACAAAATTCCCTGACTTTTTGGGTTTAGCCATATGATGAACTAGTTAGAAAATATTGAAAAAAACTATCCTTAGGAATGACCCTGTAAAGTTATACTCTGAATTACCATGGCGTTGGAAGGAGTTGAGTAATACTTTTGAAAGGAACGAGATCCTAAATACTCAAAATAAAGCTGATTCCAAAATGGTATACTCAGACTAAAATTCACCTTCAAAAATTTTCAAGCTCTACTACGCTCTCTTTGTGACATATTGCCCCGTATACTTATGAAAATTCAAACTATAGTTCACCCTGGTGGTTTCATAAAGATTGGCATATTACTTAGTGCCCTGAAAATACAAGTCTCTTTTTCTTAAAATATAAAACAAGAGTTGTAAATGTGCCTAACTCAGGTAGATTTTGCTATAATCAAGAGGAAATACGAGTTTCTCCTCGATTTTAGATAAAGTTTGATTCGGGATTTTTTTTTTTTTAAATTTAAGGTCAATTAATTCAATGGATTCCAGAACCTATTGTTGGTATTGAATTTGTCTTATACTCAACAAACGTTGGCTTGTTAGAATATAATCCACCAAAAATATTTCTACAAGATGGATGCACCAGTTGTGAACATGTTGATTTAAGAACCAGAAAAATTTCATGCAAAATGCAGTTGACATTAAATATTTCTTTACTCAGTTAAAGAAAAACTAAAATTCTGGCCCTTTCATTAAATTTCCTAACTTATTGAAAAAATTGATTAACTGTCGGCTCCAAACTGGGGCACTTAATTTCCTATCATTATTTACTGTAATTTTCTGCTGTTAGCAAGTGAACTTCATTCAAGTCTATTTAGTCTATATTGCCATTTGGCATGAATTAAGTAGATAAATTAAATAGGGCAGATCGATTCGATCTTTAAAGTTAGCGAACACACATTAGTGAACCTAGCGGCCGTGTTGCAAACTGGTTGAACAGAGCAGTTTACATTATCAGCCACGCGAGCGCGCTACTCGGCCAATTCAGCAGTGACAAGCAAAAATAGCCGCGAAATATTCGAATTGCGAAAATTCCCTGACTTTCACCGATTTTCGATCGAATTCCCTGACTTTTCCCGGTTTTCCAGACAGTGATCAAATTCCCTGATTTTTCCCGGTTTTCCAGACCTGCAGACACCCTGCAGTAGTAATTTCTGGATTTAATATTGAATACAGAGGAACTATTGCTTTGGAGCCCCATTTCCTCACGAACAGGCATGTATTTTTGGAGGAAAAAAGGGGTAAAAATATTTGGGGCAGATTGGTCATACGCCGTATCAATTCTACGGAATTTTTTGCGTAGAATCCAAATCTGAAGTAAACGCATACCCCTGCCATTTGAAATTTTCGATGTGTGGCCCTCCACAGCTCTAAAATTTTCGGAGGTCTTGGCCCCCATATTGCCGATCAACAGGGATCATGCGGCACATCAATAAAAAGGTGTTGACCTCTTCTCCCACGAGACTTTTAGAGTTTGAAAATCGGATAATTTTAATGCCTTCAGTGTCTAATTGAAATTTGCCCCAAAATGCCCAGTAACTCCAAAAAATGGGAGTTTAGGGGAAAAGTGCATGCGGTAAAAAATTCTTATTTTTGGCCATAGAATTTAATTAGAAGTCAAAATATACCCTTCCTCTTTGAAATTTGAGAGAAACGGAGGGCACCATCCTTAAATCTCCCCACCCCAATGGAGTTTTGGGGGGTTGAAAATATTTTCATTGAAATCTTTGGGGTTGATTTACCCCAGAAAGTTTTCGTCTCGAAGCTCGATTTCTGGCCGTTTCCGAGAAAAAGATGTTGGACGGGTGCTCTGGAACACTCGGTATATATACAGGAGAAAACACATTAAGAAATGGCCCAAACTGCATGTAACAAGGATATATCGACAGTGTAAGTCGGCAATCACATAACTCGGTTTGCAACGTCGCAGACTTCCTGTCATACTTTATTTTTTTAACGGAAAGCTTCTCACCGGTAATTCTTCAAAACTGCCGTGATTTTTCTTCTCTGTGAGAGGAAAATTCTGCAAAAACTTCAAGGAATGATGTCAATTTTTTCTCCTTCAAAAAATACCATGGAGGCGGAGATTTTCAGACACCGCAAACGAGTTATGTGATTGCTGACTTACACCGTCGATATATGTAGATACAATTTTATGTGGACTCTAACAACTTTACCACGATTTCGGAATAGCTAAATTATTTATATATTCTGATTATTTATACATATTAATATTCTGATTATCATTTTTTCGGGTTTTCCTTGTTTGTTATGAGAGTTGTTCAGCGGCTACGGTAGATGGCGCGAGGATCACACTTTTGTGTCATGCCTCGGGTCATATCCATGACGGCGTTTTAATGCCGTCTTGGATTTTGCGGCATGTTAAGTTGGGTTCACAGCCGAGTGTGATCTACTGATGAGGTCTAAAAAGGCCCAAACCGGTATAGATCTCTCGACGTGACTCCAACTTAATATTCCTACGCAAACTGCCTGAGCTAAACACTCTCCCCCCTCAGTTTTGTACTGGTGCGCATTAGAGCTCAAACATAATTTTGACTCTAATTTTGATTTTTGGAACTCCTTGGCTTTGATTTCCTCGCGAAATGGTGTGGACCCAGCATCATTTCTCCACCTTGCTAAATTATTTATAAGTATACTAAAACCTCTGTGAGTTGGAATATAAAATATACAGTCTCTGTACATTGATCTTGTAAATATAAATACTGTTATGGTAATTATATTAATATTCTCTTATTAAATCCTTTATTATTTCTAATTGACCCTGATACAAGTGGTAAAAGATTAAAGTATTTCCTTACAATTCATTGATATATTTCTATTTTAATCTTTTGTGTATTTAAATTTTTGAAAAGTCAAAATATTAGAAAATCACTGACTATTTTAAGTAAGTACCCGGTAAAAGATACTTGTGGGCGCATTCAGACAGAGGTCAGAAACAATCAAAACAAAATTATCACAGGGGAGAATATAAATTATATAGATCAGTCAGAGATCAAACCCGCAACAATCCCTCCAGTGTGCAACGTTCTTGACAGCTATATTATAATCATAGCTCCAGAGCTACGACATAGAGACTTAGGTATGCCATTGCGCCACTTCAGCAAGCGGCCCTTTGTTTTAGTTTCTTGACAAATTTAGTTGGGAACTTTTGAAATGAAGAAATTTTGGGCCATTACTCCTACTAAAATCTGGGTGAGGCACTAAATAACCTTCCCTTGTGAGAAACATCTCAGGGATTTACTTATTTTTAAATTTGGTACGCCTTTACCTTACGTAGCTTTCGTGGTGAATAAGTAACTAAAAGAGACAGCAATGTAAAAGGAAAGTTGATATCTTACCTTATAAAGGCTCGTCCAGAGGGATAATTCTTGACGAGAGAGTTTATTTTTTGTTGAAGGCCTGCTGGCGCAATACATTTGACATCCGCCCCTTCCGTTTTAACAACAGAGCAATCCTTAGAGAAAGAGTGAAGATAGATGAGAAAACAATGAGCCAGTGCTACATACACATACATGGTTACACTATGTTAGTAACATTTCAGGTAATAACAGCCATTTCAGAACATTTCAATTTACAGAGTTCATAATTTATATGCAAGGAATATAGTAATGGGACATCTTACATTGTTGCCAAGTGACCTGACTCAAGTTAGGTGTTGTCAAGTGACCAAACCAGAAACAAATAGACACCCTCCACTAGCCTCTTCGCGACAGGTGGAAGGTTTTACTGTCCGAGATTCAACACTTCCTTAAGGTAATAGAAAGGCAGCAACAGTCATCAACCTTTTTTCGGCTGTTCACCTACCTGCTAGAGGTGCGTTGTCGCAGTTAACTTTCAGTTTGTGTTGGGTGTTCAACGCTAACGGATATCACGTGACCGTTGCCTTACCCGTTGAGAAACGCGTTGTCGGTCGTCTCTTGACCGAGCTAGACACCCTGACACCGCGTCCACAATTACATTTAGAGCTTAGCCCAACGCTCTCAACCACCTCCTGAGACCGATGACTTGTTGACTTCTGTTTGGTAAACAGTCCAGAACATCGGGCAATCCAAACGTAGTCGAACAACGCCGAGCGTTTGGAATCGGGTAATTCTGTTGCCCAACGGTCCCAAACAGTTTACTTCGACAACGCAGCTAAGGTGGATGATGAGCTTTAAGTGACGTGAGGTCGAGTCGTTGAGTTCAAAAACTGGCGTTTAAAATTATGAAGAGAAACTCACTCTTGTGTCGTAAAGAATGAGTTGTGAGCTATTAATTGCAATCTTATGCTAGAAGACGCGTAAAAATGCTTTAAAATCTGGTAATTTTGTGCCCTGAACTGCCTGAAGAGAGAATTTACGACGGCCTTTTCTCTCTTCCTATATTTCTTTAACTGCAAGCTTTAAACCGCCAAAACTTCCGAATGACCGGATATTATTAGCCTCCTTTTGACCCAAAATGTTTCTAAGTCATTCCTTTCTGCTATAGTATCAAAAACTCGTTTGTGAATTCGTGTGGATTTAGGTCCGCTTTTCTCAAGGATAAAGTCACATTTTCTAGTGAAGAGTGAATTTTTACTTGCAGGTCTTACAGACCCACGTAAGTAACGGTCTTTTCCTAACTGGCAGCCATTTAAGAGATATAGTACGTTGAATGAAGCTATTGCATACCCCAGAGAATTGCTGTTTAAGTACCTTCTTCTATTGTGAAATTTTTCAAAAAACACAATGATGCCACTGGTTTTCTCTGAGCGAACTCCGAAAAAAGCTCTTGAAGCCGTAATAGAGGGGATCTGGATCCCCCACGCTACGCCGCTACGGTATGACGCCACTTCTATATCCAGTCAAACACTCCATGCGCAGTAGGGAGCAAATTCATTCAGAGTTACCAAAACGTTTGGTGACTTCAAGGCTGAAACCGCAGCAACCGTGCTACTGCATTTGCTCTCTACTATACATGGGGAGTTGATAATTTAAACTAAAAAGGGAAAAACTTTGCAGGGGATTCTGCAATGACTTAAGCAAAAGGAAAACCAGTCATTAGTGTATTTTTAGAAGAGCCTACACAATTATATCCTCCCATGGTAGTCCAGGAAATTGGGACGGTCATTCCACGTCAACTGTACCAGGCTGGGAACCCGACCCCCTCCGATTTGGCTGAAAATTGGTATCGGGGTCTTTGCATGATTCTAAGAAACTAAATTGAAGGGTTTTCCCATCCGACGCCCCGTTCGCAAGATATCGAACCCCAAAGATGGGGTGAATTTTAGCGATATTCAGAAAAACCTGTTTCAGCGATTCTCATTTTCTCGACTTCCCTCTCTTTGACTCTCCATAGCGAGACTCTGTATCAATCCATCATACTTTGAAAGATTGAAGCTAGACCAATTTTTCGTGTAAATTCTGAATATGCCATCGAAATTCAGCTAAAAATTACTTAAATGGCCGTAATTTAGGGTTTTTGAAAATTTACTATTTTTTTGCCATTCAATGTTCAAACTGAAATATCTAAAAAACAGTCTCTCCGGTTTTTCGATTTTTTTTATACTTCAAGCTTAACATACATCCTTTTGCTTGATAATCATTTTCAAATTCATATCGGATGGTTAAGGGCCTAAAAAAATTCAAATAGGCCAAAGAAGGTAAAAAATTGGTAGAAGAAGACGATTTTTTACATGTTAATCCAAATTTTTCGATTATGAACGCTTCAATTTTTTTTATTACCCAGACTACCCAGACTACCCAGACTACGCCCAGATTACCCTCTAAGATGTAAAAAATCAAACTACCATCGCTTTCCATACATTCACCCATCGATAAACCCCGGCCTGATGGAAACCGGAAACCGACCGAAAATCCTCAAAATTGACGCAAAAAGACGATTTTTCACACCGTAACCGATGCTTTCCATAGATTGTGACTGCAATTTCCGATTTTCTCTCTCTATTTCAACCTTAAGGTATATTCTTTCGAGTAATAAACACGTACTAACGTGCATCGATGGGGCACGGATTTAAACGGAAATGAAAACCGGCTGGAAATGCTCAAAAATGACGGGAAAAGGCGATTTATTGCATAGTCAGGGGAGCATGTGATCGAAAATTAGTCCCGTTTGCACGTTTGTGATGCAAGTTTACTCTCTTCATTTTGGTCCCTAGAATGAGAAAATCTTTGGTGGACTCTCCGATTTTGATGCCAAGGCCCCAAAAACAAGATGACGGCCAAAATGGAGGCTGAAATTGACACCAATAAAATGAATTGTTGGTAAAACGGCACAAAACGTCAAGAGAGGTAAGCCTGGTATAGTAAGCCTGGTATCTACCATCGGTCGCTTACCAGTGATATTTTTTAATCTGGCTAATAGCTAGGTCTCCTCTGTGTGAAAGAGTCTAAGGGCTGCGCTATAGCTAAGATGTAGCGGCCGTAGAAAGGGCCGTTTTCGAAGATAGGGGGGCGAAAAAAGCCGTTTTTGCATCAAGCTCTTTTGTTTAAAGAGTCAGAGTCAGCGGTGCATTCAATTTATTTTAATTTCCCTTTTTTCGTTAGAAATAAAAGTAATCTAACACTAATCACTGGACATTCTTTAGGTGGAAGGAGCTTTGGACCTTTCTGTATCCTTTATCAACTGAAGCGGGCCCCAGGGGGAAAGGTAGGGAGGGATGGCACGCGAGTATACACTCCGCGCGCTTCGAAAATAGCGCGCCACGCCAACTTTGAACGGTCATAACTTTTGAACCATTCATTTCCCCAAGTTCAACGATAGCTCGTTTTAAAGCTTGAATCAAGGGCTTTCATTTAAATATGTTTTTGTAATGATTCATGCGTTCCCAGATAAGCCCGAGAAACTGAATTTTTTGGGCTTGAAAAATCAAAATATGATTTTTTTTTACGTTGAAAAAGTACCAAAAATAGACACTACTATACATCAAATGAAAGATCTCGTCAAAAGCTTTCATTTGAGCCCAAGATCAAGTTGATCTGACGATTCGTTCAAAAGTTATGGCGGTCGGAGCGTTTGATCTTTGACCCACTGTCCCCCCTCCCACTGGGGGGCTAGACGAGGAATGACACCGGATTTAGGTTTCTCCGATGATACGTTATGATTTCTGAAAGTATGGATGGAAAAGCTCTTGCGGCCATTTCCTATGGAAAATGGGACAACCTCTTTCATGCTAGTAACATGTGGTCCTTGTAAATTTTGCCAAAAAATGAAAAGGAAACGAGTAATTCGCGAAAATTCGAGCACGCAACTAATTTTTCCAAGTACGCGCAACGCCGGCTCAGGCTGCGTGGGGCTCAGTCGTGAGCTCCCACCCCACCCGCCCGTTACAGAGTCCCGCCGCACAGTGTGTCAAAACCCCAATCTAGCTGCTCAAAACCCCCCTTACATCAAGTCAACAAATGGTGTTATTTATGGTCAGAGTGGGTCCATAGGCACCCACTGGTTACGTATCTATCATGATTATCACAAAAATAAATTTTTTGGTCGCTAAAATGATAGGGATTGCAGCCGGTAAACGTCCAGCCTCAATCTCCCCATCAGGAGTGGTGCCACTGTATTGCTTTCTTTTAGAGTACTTCGTGGCGAAAAAGGGTCATTTCTGGATGAAACGAGATGCCAAAGGCCAGAGTAAGGAAATATGATCGTTGATTTCTCCAAAATCATTATTTAAGTATTATAATTGCTCATTGAAAACAGTGCCCAAGACCGTTTACTTTTCCTGGCTTTAATAGAGCCGCAAAAGCGCGGAACTACGGAACACCATGAAACTTATATGAGAGTGTTCAGAAAACTATCTAGATTTGAAATATCTTTAGTTTTACTGCGACCTTCCGCGACCTTGAGAGTGAGAACACATTTTCTTCGGCGATTCCTAGTGTAAAAGCGTGCATGTGGCGTTATGCAATCTCCCCTTACATTCTGTCACAGGTGAATTGAGACGGAGGCAGCATCTCACCACGCGCGCTCGGTCCCCTGATTTGAGTGAGCCTTATCATGAGGCTTTTCACCGGGGCCAGACAAGATCGTATGATGGCTCCGTTGACTGCATCCTTCTTTATTACCTGCATGATCGGGGTTCAAATCCCGAGCAGACTAATTTTTTAAAATTTTAATTTCTTTCATTACGATTTTCCCATTGTCTATACTGTCATGGAGGGGGGAGGGGGGTCCTCATAAATACAAAGTTGCAACGTATTTTTAACAAGTTTCTTGTATGATTTGAAACAGACTTTCTTATTTATTTCTAATGAGGGAAGGTTTCGGACATGGTTTATGAAACGAAGGAAAATGAAAGGGGGAGGGGCTCGCCGAAATTTTCCTTTACAGGCAAACATTTTGAAAATATTATCTTTGACTTGTCACTTAGAGTTGCCGAAACGTATCATTTTAATAATATGGAATTCATATTTCTTTGGATGGCCAAATGAGAAATTCGCCATTTTGAAGTGGAATGCATAAGCCCAAGACATCCTCCAGGACTTATTTTGGATCGGAAAACACAATTTGACTAATTTTTGGGGTTTATCAGGTCACATAAGGCGCCTAAAATTTAGTTGAAATTTTACGATTTTTACATGAGTTGAACAGGATTTTTAGATGGCCGCCATTTTAAAAATTTTGATGACTAAGTTTTGAAATTTTAGGTGAACCTTCTTCAAGCTTACACTAATGCCTGTGCGAAATTTGGTGGTTATCCGACCAAATTTAGAGACGTGAAGAGGTTTTGAGCAGCTAGATTGGGGTTTTGACACACTGTGCGCCGAAGTGGCCTCGCTCAGCTGACACGGCGAAGATAGGGAGTGCACGGTCTACTCTATTCAATGTCTTTGGTTCAAACATGTCTCCGCGGAGACAATTTTTCGTGGTTTCTAATGTGTGCATCGTTCTTCTCATGCCGAAAACTGTAAGATTCGACTATTTGCAGGCAAATCCCTCCTGAGCTTAACTGACTCATACTGTAACTTCTTCTGAAAATGCACTAATGACTGGTTTCTGTTTTGAGTGAGTCATCGCGCAATCTCGAAGCATGGCAAAATTAGGATATTTACACCCTGAGAAATCGAAAATTGCAGAAATTTTGCACTAAAAAGAATTTTTTACTTCTTTTAGTGGCATGTATAGATACATATTTATGAGACATCTTATTTAAAAATGAAGCTCAACTCAATCCCATTATTCGTTCAAAATTTATACACAATTGAAGGTTTCGTCTTTGACCCTCCACTCCTGTTTGGCTTAGGACCCCCTCTCAGAGAATGCCCGAACAAAAAATTCCACCATATTTGAACGTTTCACATTCCACTGTATCATCCCTGATAAGATGGATTTTATCTGATACAGGGCCAAATCTAATGGCAGATAGAACAATCTCGTAAGAGAAGCATGTTATTAACTATGCAGATTGCACGCTAAGGAATGGATTTTTGACTTTTTAGAATATGCTGTGCTTTTTAGGATATATGTGATTTTCGTGCAATTTCACTAGTAAAGAGCCTGCACTCTTGGCTGTATCTCTTGCGTGCAGAAGATCCACCGCCGATTACATTTCATTGAGTTTAACCGTAGTTATAGTTCCTATAAAAACAAATCTGGCATAAATTCATAGGCAATAATCCTGAGCTTAAGAGCAGTCCTCCTGTAAGTTAATCAGGGTGTCTACTGAGGTCCACAAAAATAAAATAAGTACTTTTTAGGTACTTAAGGAAAAATTTAAGTACCTCGCCTTGGGGAAAAATTAAGTACTTTTTAAGTATCTTTTTGCGACGTATTAGTCCAGTCATATGGGGATTTTATGCAATTTTGAGAGCGGAACTTTTTTCCTCACCTGATTTCTCATTCATAGAGGGTCCTTAACGAGAATCTAAATTTGCGACATCGGCACTGTATGGGAACCTCCCCAGTATCGAAAAAAACGGCCAAAAATCGGCGATTTTCTCTAGTTTTTCGGCTAATATCGCAAAAACCGCTCATTTTTCGAGTAACTGTGTAAGAACTTGCCTTAGAGTAGATAAAATTACGGACAAGTTCCACCCGGTCCGAAATTTTTCTGATAAATAATATGCCCACTACAAGGCTGCCAAAAAAAACCCCAAAATGTTCAAAATTTCATTTTTTTTAAGGTTTTTTTGCTTGTAACTTTTTTTTTCCAGCAATTTTAGAAGGTAAGTGTACCATCCGAAATGAAAGTAGATTCAAAATGCTAAAATTTTGTGTATCAGACTTTGCCATAGGACGCAACTAGACGGCTCCATGTCGTTGCCAAAGTTACGGTCTCCAAGGGCATTTTCCGCGGCGGTGCATTTCACGCAACCGCTCCACTCAATTTTACCTGAAAAATTTTACAAAAAACTTTCTGGAATATGTTTTCTATGTATTTTTTATCCAGTAAAATGCTATTTTGCAGTTTCAGTCATCAACTACTGAAATTGCAAAATAGCGTTTTTCGAGATAAAAATACAGTGAAAATGGTTTCGCGCCGTTATCTGATTAGGGAGGGGGAGGAATGGGGGTTGGGGGAAGGGATGCCAAAAGGGGTGAAATCTCTAATTTTATTAATTATAGAGGAGATTTAATGCCTTAAAGCAAAATGAAACGTTATGGAGACCATAAAACGTTCCTCATGATATAGAACTATGATGCAGCTTTGCAGCCGATTTCGGCCGTGCGAGTCTCCGACTTCAAGCGCTCCTAACTTCCGCTGAAACAATCACTAGTCCAAAAACTAAGAGTGATTCTAGTAGCATTTTTTGTCTACTTTAGTTTTTGTGCACCAATTTTGCCGAAAACCGCTAGGAAAAAAGATATTTGAGAGAACCGTCAAAAATTTCGATTTTTTTCAAATTTCCCGCTATTTATAGCGCGCTCTGGCGGATGGTATACGCATGTTATCATAACTTTGATACATGATTCTGAACCATACTTTTAAGTACTTTCATTCTGCAAATAACTCTTTTTGCCGCCCGACGCATAAGGAACGAGTTATTAACGATTTTTAGTCAAAAAATTAGATTTGGCAAGGTTTTTTTAAGGTGGCGGCTTTAGCGGCAAAAATCGAAGGCAGAAAACTTCAGATTCGGTTTCAGCGCTAAGAAATACATAAGAAACATATTCCAGAAAGTTTTTCGCAAAATTTTTCAGGTAAAATTGAGTGGAGCGGTTGCGTGAAATGCACCGCCGCGGAAAATGCCCTTGGAGACCGTAACTTTGGCAACGACATGGAGCCGTCTAGTTACGTCCTATGGCAAAGTCTGATACACGAAATTGTAGCATTTTGAATCTACTTTCATTTCGGCTGATACACTTACCTTCTAAAATTGCTGGGAAAAAAAGTTACAAGAAAAAAACCTTAAAAAAAATGAAATTTTGAACATTTTGGGATTTTTTTGGCAACCTTGTAGTGGGCATATTATTTATCAGAAAAATTTCGGACCGGGTTGAAAATGTCCGTAAGTTTATCTACTTTAAGGCAAGTTCCTACACAGTTACTCGAAAAATGAGCGGTTTTTGCGATATTAGCCGAAAAACGAGAGAAAATCGCCGATTTTTAGCCGTTTTTTTCGATTTTAAGGGGGTTCCCATAAAGTGCCGATGTCGCAAATTTTGATTCTCGTTAAGGACCCTCTATGGATGGGAAATCAGGCAAGCAAAAAAGTTGCGCTCTTAAAATCGCATAGCGGCCATTATTATCCTCAAATGACTGATCGCAATTCTTCGATTTTGGCACTGCCGCGCGCTTCACTTCGGCTATTCCCGTGGCCTTTTCGGCTGTTTCCGTCAAGTCGAGGGAAATGCCTTGTTCCGCTCCTTTACAACAACCGCGCTCTTACAGGCTGACATTGTAATAATACGCCTGACGGCCAACGCACAGAGGGTTGCATAACTATCAGGCGATCGAACTGAACGCGCAGCGCAAAATGCGAAAAATTACGGACCTTCCGCGAGATTTACGTACTTTTTAGGTAGGTACTTACGGACCGACCTTAAAAAATGCGTACTTTTTCCGGACTTTACGGACTGGTAGACACCCTGGTTAATTCCTCCTTACAAAGCAAACTCTTTTAAAAATACTTTGAAGTACATACGTAGTTGAATAAGTACCTGCAAACTGACTTTCAGCTGTCTGTTAGGAAGGTCATCATACAAATTCAGCCATTGCTGTATGTTCCAGTCGGAATCATATAAAATAGCCTCAACAAGCAGTAGATCTGCAATGGCATCTCCCACTGTCTCGTTAATCACGTCACGGACTACAAGCAACTTCTTTAGATTAGCTTTTTGATCCTCAGATAAGCCATTTCTACATGTGTTAACAGAAAAATTTTGACATAAAAGTTAAAGGATACACTCTGGATTGGTTGACTAACAAAGAGCCTTGCACAGAAAGGGCCAAAATTCGCCCGTTTTTGGGCCCTCGAAATCGGAGTCCATGTGAGGTCCTTAGGATGACCCTTTACAGGTACTAAAATTTCAGATTGAGTATACGAACCGTTTTCGAGATACATGGGGTCAAAGTCACCGATTTTCACTTAATTCTACAGGTAAGTTAAGGTCCAATTCCGACTTTAAATTGTTATCTGATTCATACAGGGTGTTTCAGACCACCCGTACCAGGCCTTCTTCTCGGTTGGTTTAGGTCGTACGAAGTCGGGGACCGCGGGGTTGAATAGGGAATCGACCCCAAGGAATCCGAATTCCGTGGTCCCCAACCCCCCCCATCCCCCTTGGGAAGGAAAGGGGGGGTCATGACGCTAAAAGTCACGGTTCCCGACCGAATTTTGGATAGGTCGCATCAGAATTGAACAGGACGGAAAAATTCACGTGAAATTGACCCCTAAAAATCCAAGACCGGCCCATCTAAGGCCCAAAAATGACCCCCTAAAGAGGAGGACAGTACCCCCCTACATAATTTCTTCTTGGTCTCAAAATTGACGTAGATTCTCCAGAAAAAGACTGATTCCCAGGTAATCGACCTCGAGAAATCCAAATTTCATGGTCCCGAAGCTCCTCTAGCGCCCCTTGGGGAGTAAACGGGGGGGCCCAATTTTAAAAATCGGGGCTCCTTTCCGAATCGCAAATTGGTTGCATCCAAATTGAGGAGCAGAACACATTTACATCTTAAGTGACCCCCTGAGGAGGGGGGCTTCGCTTCCTCCGAAAATTTCGCAAGATTCCTCTTTGGTCGCAAAATTGACGTCGATTCTCCAGAAAAAAACGGTTCCCCAGGTAATCGACAGAGTTCTCGGGGTCGATTATCGGGGTCGAGTTGTGTATGTCAGATCGATGTATCGACTCGTCGACGTTTAAAATTGATTCTACGTGTAGAAATACGTAAGAATTGATGTGCTCCAATCATAAAGGGTACATCTCTCCGATCTTGGATGGAGAGACACCTATCTCAATCCCGATAAACCATCGATTTTCCGCAAAAAATCGAAAAAATTCAATACAATTGATCGATATATCGGCTTATCGAGGTTATAGATCGATTCCACGTGTAAAAATACGTAAGAGTCGATGTGCTCCAATCATGTTGGGTACATATCTCCGATCTCGGATGGAGCAGACCCGATTCTAATTCCGGAAAGTCATCGACTTTCCGTAAAAAATCGCAAAAGTTCGATACAAACGATAGATAAATCGATTCGTCAACGTTTAAAATCAATTCTGCGTATCAAAATACATAGGGTAACGTGTGCTTCAGTCATTTCAGATGCATTTGTTCCTTCATGAATCGAAGATAAACAATTTCGACCCTGAAAAATCATCGATTTTCCTTAATAAATCGTTCAAAATCGATTTAACTGATCAGTTTATCGATTCGGCACTGTTAAAAATCGATTCTACGTGTAAAAACACGTAGAAATCTATGTGTTACACGTGCGTAAACAACGATAAGAACCCCGCCGATACATCGATTCTACAAGAAAACAGCAAAAAATTAGGCCGGATTGTGACCCCTTTGCCCCCCCCGTAACTCGAAAACGGTTCCTATACTCATCTTGAAATTTTTTCCCGAGTTTTCTGTTAATATAAGCTTCGATTTAAACCTTGGTCCGATGGTCGAATCGAATACCTGAAAAGGGGCCAAAATCAGCCTCTTTTTTGGGAGGCTCAATTTACTCAGGATCAGTAACCACCCACCCCCTTCCCCCACGCGCCGCAGTGAATCAAGATGTATGCCAGTTCATACAGATTTGATGAGATTATTTCTATAATTATACCATTCAATACAAAATGAAATTGGGGGTTCCATAAATACAGGGTGTCTACAGATTTTTAAAAACCAATTTCAGGACTTTTTCAGGACCTCAGAGTATTTTCGCCAAGTCAGGGACTACACATACTGCTAATTTTATTGGAAATCGAGTCCATCCTCATGACAATTGATGATGGCTAAAGTAGGGTGAAAATGGGAATTAAAGCACAAACGTTTTTAGCCAAATTGTGCAGAAAAATACGAATTAAATTACAGTGTTGTATGGCGGGTATTGTACAATACGGCAACGCTGTTAAAAAGAAGTATTATATGTTTCCCCTTCAATACGTGGGTTATGCAATGGTGTAATGTAGCTCCTTCAATCTGCGGGTTATGCAATGGTGTATGTTGCCCCTTCAAGATGGTGGTTATGCATCAGCGTTGCCGGACGGTGCACATTCATAAATGATTTATTTATCGATGAAATTTTGCAATATCTAATTTTACAGTGTTGCCAGATGGTGCAAGAAATTAAATAATTTTTTCGTACAATGTTGTCAGATTGTGCAAAAAATTCGGATTATCGGACTTGTAAAAATTTTCGGCTTCGGAAGACCGTCTCCTCCAGTATGGGTCTGGTATCGGAAACTGGAGAGTAAGGTCTGATTCGGGAAATTAAAAAAAATTCGGAAAATTACTCTCCTCCGATCCGCCGCGGACGGATGCGATTCTTTTACAATATCGAAGATCGGAAAACTGTACGGACCAAATTTTGATACGACTTTTTGCTTTTGAGATTTCGGACTTGTATCGGCATCCACGATAGACCATATCCTCCAGTATGGGTCTGGTATCGGAGACTGGAGAGTAGGGTCTGATTCGGGAATTTCCATTTTTAGTAGTGTGCGCTTGGAGGTGCGTATCGGAACCTTGTGTTTTGGGATGAGCAACTGGGATTGGATATTGCAATGTTCAGTTTGATGAATCAAAAACATTTTTTTTTTTCTTTGGTGGAAATTTACTGTTACAGTTTAAAACAGTTCGCGTTTAGAAAACGCACGCGTTCGAGAAACGTACGCGTTTAGAAAACGTCCGCGTTCCAGAAAACGTCCGCGTTTAAAAAACGTGAGGGTTGTCAACCACAAACATAGATCCCTTCTCCTTCTCCGAACTTTAAATCAAGACTTATGTCATCGACTTTCCGATTGTTATTTTTACGGGACATCCTGATGAAACGGAACTTGCAGTCTCTTGGCACCGGACGAATGGCACGAAGCTGACTATCGCGTCAACATCTCACCTGTCAACATGATATGCATCGAATGCAGCATCGCCAACGGTGGATACGCAAACGGGGTGCGGTGCGCGGACATCACATTTATGCGTTTGCTCCCGATATCGAACCAGGATTCAAAATGGTAGAGAAACCGTCGCCGATTCATTACTACCCCGTCTTGGGTGATAAGATCCAACCTTTGCTCGTTAATATGTATAGTAGGTAGACCAACAAGGAAGAGCGATCAATTTCGGTGGTGAAGAAGTGACAGTGTGACTGCACGTGAGACCGCTAACTTATGGGTAAAAAAGGATCCAGAACGACGACGACGATAGGTTCCTATATTCTCTTGCATATAATAGTATTGATAATCCACGGACTAGCTGTCAACAACAACAACAGCAGCAGCAGCAGAAGCAAAAGCAGAAGCAGAGGAAAACTTTGACCGAATATTCCAAGAGGGCTCTCACACAACTCGGATTCGTGGTGAAAAATCCAAAATAAAAACAAGATGGAAGCTTGGCGACAAGAGATCATCGAATACGAATACATCCGGTTTGGTCCGGTCGACGAACGGCGAGGAAACAATGATTCGATCCGGTTCTCCCCCGATACCCACGGCCTGATCACCGTGCCTGAAGATTCGAGGATCTTCGTGCGTTTAGAAGTGAAACTCGAGCAAAATCCTGGAGCCGCTGCAGATGCTACCAAACCTAAAGTCAAGTGGGCTAACAATTATCCTCTGCACTTGTTCGACCGTATGCAGTGCAAAAAGAACGGGACGGAAGTCGATAGCATGCAATCTGTCGAAGTGACATCGACCGTGAAAAATTATCTCACATATACTAAAGGGGAAACCGTGGGACTCGCATCTGCCGGGTTTTGTGACATCACTCATTCATGGACCGAATGGGATTTCACACAGGCGGATTAAACTCAGTGCGCTGTCGTTCCGTTGTCTTCACTCAGCGGATTCGTAGTACATTTCAAAGACGTTCTAGTCAGATGCTCGCAAGAGTTAATCCTCTTGCGCAGTGGTACGGATAAGAACGCATATTATATCACCGACGCGGCGACCGCGGACGGTTACAGCATCAAATTTAAAATAATCGAAATCTATTGGGAGATTCCCATTGTCAAATTCACATTGGAACTGGAAAAACAAATCTTGCTCAAGATGAAGAAGAACGATAAGATGAGTTTCGGTTACATGAATTGGGAATCGCACGACATCCCGGGGATTTTTCCGACCAAAACGTTCAAATGGAGCGTAAGAACAACCAGCAGGCACAAGCCCAAATTCGTGGTGTTTGTATTTCAAACGGACCGACGGGACAATCACCTGAGGGATTCCTCTCTTTTCGACCATGTAAATGTTCGCTCGGTCAATGTTCAAATCGGTGAGCGTCGGTTTCCTCAAGTTGATACGATCTAAGATTTCCCGACTTTGGATTATAATCACGCCTATCTGAACTACACCGATTTTATGAGAGACTACTGGAAAGGTGAGAAACTCTGCGAGCCAGCTATGTTGCTTGAAAATTTCAAAGATCGCGCGTTTTTCGTCATCAAATGCGTTCAAGGTGAAGATCTGAAAACAGCTCCGGTGGATATCACGTTGACCGCTGTGGTAAAATAGAATTTCCCGGCCAACACTACAGCCCAGGTGATCCTGATCACACCTGTGAAGTATTCGTGCGAACTACTGCACGGAACCGTGAGGCAATTGGATTAATCTTAATCAAAAATTTTAAAAAAATTTATTTATTTTTACATTCTTTTTCAAACATTACATCATTTAGAAAAGAATACAATAATACATACA